ATATATATATATATATATACACTTTAAGCTAAATATCAACACCCCACACTTAAACTCTTGCCCGCCCTCGAGCAATAGGACTATCAACTACACCCCAACAACGTACACATCTCAACTAGAGAGGAGCACTTCAATTTTTTAACCATACAACTCTACCCTTGACTATGATCGATACCGGCAATCAAGCATGAACATACACACTTCACATTCTTCCAGTTTCAAATATGCCCAAGTATAAATGTTTCAATTCAATCAATTCAAACAACCAATCCGTCACCACCCTACCTCAAGAGGCTACTCACAACCACTAAGCACCCTCAACTCACGCACTCACCCAACTAAAGAAATTTACAACATTACCAATCCTTCATGAAATCATGTGCCCTCACCAACACACAAAAGAGTGAATATAGAATAGTCCATACATTCAAGTATGCCTTTGAACATAATTTAAGGACATCACACATTTTGAACAAAAACAATCGCTCACTCTCACAAAGAATTCATGTGCACCCCGTGGTCGTACCATAAGCTTACCCATAGTGTACATCTCTACTAATCTAAGCTAGCCAAATCTAGGATCAATTAGGACTTTAAGGTTATAATGTAGGCTAAGGGACGGGTAGGATACATTTAGGAATAGTGACTAACCCTCCTAAGCACTTTAATACCCTACACTAAAAAATCGAGCACATCTTCTTCTCAACCAATTCACTCGCCATAAACCATATATAACATAGCCCTGTTTTCATTAGCCCTCTTTTCATTTAAGCACTTCTATACTCCCACTAGCACGAATTAAGAAGATTAGGAGGTGTGTGTTTCTCTACATCATTTGAACTCTCAATTTTTTTTCCTTCTTGCAAATTGTTTTCTCTTCTTTTTCTCTTTTTTTCCCTTTTCTACACACCCTCCATAAATTAAGGTTCATCGGCTAGTGACCTTTTTTCACAACTTTAGTGCACCTTAAGGGCCCTTCCATGGTTCCACTCAAAATCTACTCCCCAATCTCTCACCCTACTTCTTTTAGCGACTAAGTGCCTTGGGAGGTAAAGGTTCAACAATCTCAAATTAAGAACAAAATAGGGATACGACTTGTAATGTGGGTGCCAAAAAAAAGGTTTATAGGCTCAAAGAGGCTAGCAACAAAATTTTTTTACTTTTAAGTGACAAGAACATCTATGATCAAGCAAGAACCGCCTACGTCATCTCCTAGACTAGCACAACTTAACGATTTCGCTTCGATTAACACACGGGACAAGTTCTAGACTACACAAGATAGCACAGAAAATCACAACTCCTCACACACACATTGCATATGACTCAATCGAGACGGTTCTGTTTAACTCTCAAGTCAAGCAAGCACATATAATTGAGAAATTTTAAGCAACATTGCACTATGTGGCATACAAGTCAAACAACCGAGAAAAGGCGTCACAGAATATGCTATTTATTTTACTCAGGCATAACAATTCAAATCAAATGTACGGGAAGACAAAGCGCATGCCATAACCTAATGTGCCAGCACCAAACACGTCAATAGGTACCTCAAAGCAACTCAGTTTCTTCCTAACCTACTCCTAAAAAGAAAAACAAAGTACCCGGTTCGAACTACACTCTTGGAAAAGAACCGGTGCCCAAAGAAAAACCAAGGGATAATACCTAACTATCCTAAAAAAATAATCTTTTTTGCGTTTTTAATCGGACTTTAATCCCTCAAGAAAATTATCCAAAAGATCCATCGTCAGTAAAAGTCCGAGCTTTTTCTGATTTTTTTTCTTTTTTCTAATTTTGTATTTTTTTTCTAAAACTAGACTAAGTCTAATACGGGTTCCTAAAAAAAACTAATAAAAAGAAAAAATTTAATACAATTTACATCACAAGAAGTAGTTCCCCCACCCCACACTTAGCGTATGCATAGTCCCCAATGCATGTAAAAATATAAGGCAAAGTAGGGTGAAAAGAAAAACTCCCTGCTAGTCAAATTCCTCCTCTTCAGCATGCCCGCCAGCTGCAGCTCCGGGCTCATCATCATCATCAGCTCCCAGAGGCACCAAAGCCATGGGCCCCGTGACTTCATCACCAATCTCATCCTTAGTGTCGAAGCCTTTGTAAGTGTTCTTATCCTCTGACGGGTGAACGGGATTGCCAGGTGCAATCCCCAATATCTCTTTGAAGAATT